TTATTCATTTTATAATATTAATAATAATATTCACAAACATAATATTAATAAGGCAAGATATAAACAGAATATTAACGAGGCAAGAAACTTTCATTTATTTATGTATATTAGATGAAGTATTTGCAGATGAAAGTTTAGATACATTTTCATAAATTTTATTGAAATTGAAATTAGTTAATTATATTAGTTAAGGCTATGAAATACGAGCTAATAATACAAACCCAAAATGCGGTCTACTTAGTATTGAGTGTGGTGATGTCTAATCCTAATTCGACGGTTGCAAATTTTACCAAATCCTAACATTATATATTCAACATAAAGTGATATATTGCATAGTAATTCAAGTGCGACAAGAAGCGAATTTTGTTTCAGTGTATGTTGGAGGAGAGCGCAGTCAACTGATAATGAAGCGCCCATGGTGCTGGGCGTGGCAAGTGGAGAGATAAGCAAATGGCTGCCGCAGTGCGCTTGCCGCGGCGAGTGTCGCTGATAATTGCCCGCGTGCGTGACAAATGCAGGACGCAGCGAGCGATATTAAAAATATAGCATACTTACATGCGCATGCGAGTCTGGGCGGGTGAATGCGTGCTGCTTATTTATGATAGTCTGAAGCAATGTCAACGCGTTGCCCTATTAACAATGCGCTCGAATTGTAGCGCAGATAATAGTGTAGAGTGTAGGGAGGGGAGGGGAGGGTAGGGCAGGTAAGTCCTGAAATGATTGTGCAATAAACAGCTCGGTCCATTCGAGCACATTTCTTACGGCCACGTGACTCTTGCCAATGCTCATGCGGATTGTTTTCTTTTGTCTTGCAGGAGTCGAGTGCTTTCAGCGCTTCGCCGAGCAGCCCAAGTACACGGAGGTGAATCCGCGCGAGGATGCGCTGCTCACATGCAAAGTCATCGATATGCGTGGCTCCTGCTCCTGGCAGAAGGACAACAAGGTAATCATGCGGAGTACATATACAACAGCCGCTAGTTGTTCATTTCACACTCGATATGAGGCTCCCCTGTTTGCCTGCAGTTTATAAATATCCCAAGTTTCTACACACACACACACACACACACACACACTCGCACGGCGATACAAATGAACATAACTAAGACTCATTTCATATGCGCAGCGCGTCCTGTGGATCAATTAAGTGTTGTTTCTCGACTGCCTGCCCTGCCCTGCCCTGCCCAGCCCCGGCACATGTGCTGGAACTGCCTGCCAAAAGTAATTTACGCCCTTTGGCTGGACGATCCAATAATGCGCGTGGCTATGACCTTTGCCCTCGCTGGCCTTATGTGCGTCTGGGCAGGACTTCTTTGCGGCTCTGATTAGACCACGGGGCTGGCCAAACTTTTAATCGAAAATGCGTGACAACTCGCACCTAAGCCTTGGGCACTCACACACGCACACCTATACACACACACTCTCTGTCCCTCTCTCTAACACAGCTACAGATACCTACAAAAGTCAACTTGGCGCCGCGTTACATGGAAATGCTATTATGGTCAGCATCCCAGGACTTTGGTGATATCCACCTTTTGTTCCCATATCGACCATATATTTAGATTTTTCTCCTGCATTCCATACAAGGCAATGCTTAACCTGCTTGAAAATGTTGTTAACGTTTCTATGCACAAACCAAGCAATTTGCCAGCAATGCACTTGAAGAGTATTTTCTCACTCACTCACTCTCTTTTTCTCCCTCTCTTACTCACTCGCCTTTGATATTTTGCTCTTTGTGTAGACAATTGCCCTCAGAATCGTCGAGAAAACTTATTTCAGCATATCCTACACGCATTTGAGGGAAATGCGAAAGATGTATTGCTGGCCATAAAATAAATGGAAATATGCATAAATTAAATAAGATATTGCCGACAGAGACAGATGAATAAAACAACTTAATATTCATCGAATAAACATATGAATTAAAAATTTCTTTAAGATTGATTATCATATCTAGAGCAATAATGATATCCAGATAGATAGATCTCTTGAGTTCCTTATATTCCCCCATTAAGTTGACTTCCTTTCACTGGGTATCTGGCAGCACAATATATCCTCTTTGATCTGTGGTCTGGTCAGCCTTATTCCTCCTTGTTATTCGGCTCCATTTTGGCATTTTGGTCATATGTGGCTATTGCCTTTTGGTATGCGGCCAAAACATATCCGTGTTAATTTGCATAGCAGTCGAAATTGGTCAGCAGGATGCATTATATGTGGCCAAGAAGAGAGGACTCATTATGGGACTGGCCCGAGTCCAAGGCAGATGAGCACTTGGGCTTGTCTTTAGTTCGGAGAGCTGAGCTGATGCTGCTGCTTGTTATTCATGGCATTTGCGTGCGTTTATAGCACAACTTTTATTTGCTCCTTCTGCGTCCTTCGATGCTCCTGGAAGCCTCGGCTGCCTGCTGTTGTTGTCTGAACCACAGTTGCTTATGCAAAATGAAGTGCGGGCTGGGAAGGCAACGCTCCACTTGCATGACAAAAATCACAAAGCATTTGAAATGCACTTTTTCATATGCTGCACATTGCCAAGGATCGTATCGCATTGGGKCGAGTCGTGTCGCATTGCATCGCATCGCATCGCATCGCATTGGCTCGATTTGCAGCATATACTTAAATGTTTACATGCTTTGTGCCTGCAGGACACTAAGGAGCAAAACACATGGATGGGCATGACCAAACAGACCATTTGCATGCATCGAGTGTCTCAACACACACATACGTATACATACTATATATTGTACTATACGCTTTATTCTAAATACATATATAGTTTGTTTGCCTTCATTTCGAATTCAACTTATTTTTGCATATTTATAGCAATTGTAGCTGTTGTGCCGTTATGGCATGTGTTTGCTTTTCAAACTAACTTGCCCATTTTTGCATAGCATTTGTGTGGCTGTCTCTACAGTATTCCTTTGCATCTCGATATCTTAAGTAGACAACTTTTGTGTCTCCAACTGAGTAGCTGGCACTTCAATTGGGGCCAAGCACCAGTTCATAAATACCTTTTACGAAATGCTTATTAGGAGTCGCAGTCGAGCAGAACTTTGAGAGCGAGAGTGACCAGGAGAACAGAGAAGAGCGGCTTATTGATTTCGAATAGTTGCAAGAGCTCTTAACTATCTCTGCCAAACAGAGCGAATCGAGACTGAGTATAATTGGAATACAACAGTTGTGTGACTCAGTCTATATATATAAATAGATATTGGGCCAGTTGTGACAAGAATAATGCGATTACTAATAAAACACATCTAGTTGTAAGTATAATACGACATTCGTTCTTTTATTTTGCTAGGAAAAAAAGAATAGAGAAATGTCTATTTATAAAATATTGGGCCTTTTTTATGTTATAGCTCTTCAAGGTTAATATCCCATTTTTAATGAGTTCTCTGGGAAAATTATAAAAATATTTTAGATTTACACTTTGGGCTTATTATTTTAAATCTTATATCTCTTAAAGGACCATTTCCCATATTTCAATGGGACCATAGAAATCATTTTTATACTTTTTATATACATATCTAAATCTTACTTTACGTTTTTCTCTTTAATTTCATAGCTGTTATAAGACAATTTCCCATTTTCAATTCAGTTTATGCTATAATAAAAAACCGCTGCCAAGAAGAAGAAATTCATGGTATTTTTGCTATATGTTTGGGCCAGCTAGACATTATGTGCCTTGCAATTTAATTTTTGGTTTTTAATACTATATATCAAAGAAAAAGAGTAAGGCCCGTGCTCTTAATGTAAATAAAACGGAAATCCATCTACTCTCTTTTCTTGCTTGAGTGCGAGGTATAATCAGACTAAGAGCTGGCTGGCAAAGCAAACAGAACAATGCCAAATGGATGGGCAGGCAAAATAATGTCAATAGGAAACGATTTAGTTCACGTTGAGGGCGCTTACCACACACATGCAAATGCACACACACACACACACATACACATGTAGACACACAGTAGCTGGAGACAACAAAATATTTGGTGGTATTCAAAATTGTTATTTTGACAATTGGCAGCGCTGGACGCCAGCATTGAGCACCATCTCCTTTGTGCTCTGAACAACAGAGAGAGACGGAGGGCGAGAGAGAAAGAACGAGAGAGAAAGAGAGAGGTAGAGTCGCTTAACCTAGACTTCATAGCTGCAGCTGACGACCATACGATGGCTGGCCAAGATAGGACCCACAAAAATGTCAAAAGGAAAACGAAATAATAATTTAAATAGGTCTGGGAAAATGTAAATGTAAATGCCTGGGGCCGCAGCTAAGGTCGAATGCAAATGAATACATTTATATATGGGGCTGTACGAATACAGAATACGAATATGCGAATAATGAACGCATGCGAATGGATAAATAAAATATTTGCCATTCAGTATGTTATCGTATTCTAGAAATATGTATTAATTAATTGAGACAGGGGCTTGCCCCTACCTGCGCTGATGTTTTCAGAAAGAAAGCATTTGCGGTGACAGCAATTAATTAACCCCATTAAGAGACGAGACAATGTTTAAAGGACTAAACGAACTGACAATTGGACAGTTGGACAACGGGACAAGGACAACGACAGCGCACTTAGGAGCGAGGGGGCGTTGCACGGACATAAATACCTAAATGCGAACGATGCCACGCTCAAAGATCACTAATTGTAATTTAATTTCCAATTAGCAAACAAACTAATGCCAGTTTAGAAACGGCAACAAGCTTCCAGACGACGCCGACTGCTGCTGTAAGTGGAGTTAAACGACACGTAGTTGAAAATGGCAGCAGACTGCCAGCAGGCGGTGCCGAGTGGGCGGGAGGAGGGGCAGAGGGGATTGTGGCAGGTTACTGGGCTGGTTCACTGACATTCAATAGCTAAACTCTGTCCTCTATCTCTCTATCTCGGCGACTATTTGTGTGTCTGTGTGTGTCTGTGTGTGTGCGTAGACCAAATTATGCGCCTGACTACATCGAAAAGTTAAACATGCTGAACATGTCGTTGTCCAGTGGCCCGCCCACACTATTGCATTGCCCCGCTACTTACCATCCCGAACATCCTCAACATCATCATCAACATCATTATCATCATCATCATCCATTGTTTCAGCAGATGTAGTAATGCAATCTTCTCTCTCTCTCTCTCTCTCTGCTTTCTCTCTTTCCATCTTCTGGTTTTACCTTACAGCCTGTCGGCATCTATCTGAAGAAATACGAATGGGCACGTCCCTTGGGCGGAAATGGCGCCCTACATCTGGATCTGCATCCGCCCCCGCCCAGCGGCGGCGACTGCTCCCTGTGGATACGCTCGGCCACCTTGGACTTTGACGACGGCCTCTGGGAGTGCCAAGTGACCGCCAGTGATTTTACCGCACAAGATGCTTTGACTAGTCAACCGGTGCGATTGGTTGTACGTGGTGAGTGTTAATCCACCAGCTCAAATCAATGCCATGCAACGTAACGTATGATTAATATTTGGGCTGGAGCCCGAATCAACTGGTGAGACTGGTGCAATGCATCTGCGACCTTTATGGCGATAGGGTAAATGTTATAGTCAGGTAGCTCAAAGATGTCTTGTAATAAGTGAGTGATATATTAGTCAAGCATTATATAAAACAAGTAATCTTTAGTCTGGGGTTCCCGTCAAGTGAATAATCGGATCTTCAACATTTTTTCTTCACTTTTGAATCCTTGATTAATATCTATGCAACATCAGCATCATTTTTTGCTTACTTAATAGAAAATCTAAGCTTGCAATTGCAGTAGACTGCTAAGATGCACTCTATAGTAAAAGGAACTACGCTTGACTCAAATTACCGGGTCTCGCTGTCATATGACCAGACAATTTCTTTAATATCTTCTGCTATACTTAATGGATTTCAATGAAATTTTCAGCATACGATCTACATATTTTTCTGTATATTTATCAGTTTAGGAAAAATTAAAACTCGTTTACATATCGCCTAAATGTGCATCTGAACTATGATTTAGAAACATTTTTGACTTTAGGGCTTCTGTCAAAAACATAGTAAAATCGCAATTGAATTATTTTATCAAATTGCAAAACTTTGAGAGCCTTGCTCTAAAGAAATAAATTCCAATTCAATGTCTATAACATTTACAATCGATTTAGTAAGACTGGAATCTTTATAGATTATATTATTATGATTGGATTAAACTTGAAACTGTATATACAGGCTATAAACAGTTTACTTCTAACGGACGAGCACTTATATTCAGACTGACATATGGACATATCTAGATTACAGAAGGAAGATTATGTAGATAATCATTTTGCCTGTTCAGGCATACATATGTATGTGTAGAGAAAAAGAACTCTTTGATGTCGATGATGACATAAAGTGGAATATGACTAAAGGCAACTGCCACTCAGGTAGTATATTATAATGAGGTTAGCCGGTCTGGTGTACGAATAAAAATGGAATAAGAAAATATGCATCCCGCACTTTTGAATAGCTTTCAAGTGTGACGCAAGCTAGGTGATTTGATTAAATTAGTCTTAGGCACTGCTGCACGTTCTGCTGACATTTATTGCTGACCGCCCGAGTCGTATTAGTAATCTGTGTCTGACATCCCTCCCCTCTCTCACTCTCTCCCTCACTCACTCTCTCTTTTTTACACACATTCAGTGGCGCCGCAACGCCCGCGTCTGGAGTACGAGAGCGCTCCATTGCCGCCGGGACACAACATTACGGTGGACGCTGGCGCCGTGGCGACTGTGAAATGCGCCTCACATTATGGTAATCCGCCTGCAACGCTCAAATGGTATTTGGGTAAGTGTCGCTGCTGCCTGTTATCCTTTGATTGCACTTGTTATCCTAGCTAGCTCGCTAGCTGGCTGTGACATTGTCATGTTAATTAATTTCAACGATTTGCTCTCCCTACCCCCTCTCTCTCTCTCTTTCTGTCACTATCTCGCTCTGGACAGGCGACCAGGAAATCTCGCCCATGCACCCGCAGCTGAATGCCACCGAGCCCGATAATCCACGCACCTGGTCTGCCACCTCGGTGGTGCAGGTGTCCGCGATGCGCGAGCGCCACGGCGACATTCTGCGCTGCGTGGCCTTCCACGAGAACTACGAGGCCAAATCGGTGCCAGTGGAGGCCCGCCTAGATGTCAAGTGTAAGTCGCAAAAACAAACGAGACAAGCAAAAAAAAAAAAAAAAAAAAGTCATTAAAAACTAAATAAGTAACTCAAGCTTGGCTAGACAAAGTATGTGCTGTCCTTTGAGCGAGCTGATTGCATTCAGCTGCACTTGGCTTAAAGTCAGCAAAAGTTAAAAGACATTGCAAACAGCTGTAACAATTCAATTAGCCACAATTTGCAGCAATTTCCTGTTTTGTTAAGCAATTCAAGATTTTGGCCCCAAGACGGGCGAGCACAAGGACAACTGTCGAAGTTGGCCGCTTGTTGTTGACTTGTTTTGCTTACTCAACATCTCTCTCTCTCTCTCTCTCTCTCTCTCTCTCGCTCTCCCTCGTTTTGTCCCTGTCTAACCCGCTCTTCTTGTGCTTGTGCACTTTGCAGATGCGCCAACCATTCGTCTAATTGGCTCACCGGAAATCGACTTGGAAGAGGATAAGGATGCGCTTGTGCTGCGTTGCGTGGCCGATGCCAATCCGCCGGCCAGCATCGTCTGGCGACGTGCCGGACGCTCCGAGATAGCCAGCTTGCAGGTAAGTCAGCCCCCTCTCCCCCCTACCTCACCCTCTTTTTGCTCCTTTCCTCCCATCGAACGGCATCCTGGCAGGCAGACTCCTTGCCAGCTTGTTGTTTATGTTGCTACGGAATTTCGACGTCTCTCGCCGTATTTATCTTAAGTGTAGCAGAAATTTGTAATTGTATTAAATTGCTAACTCTCTCCTTCGGGCCGCTTCGGTCGCTCCGTTTAGGAAACGCTGCAATTGCGTCCTGTCGGACGGCGAGACGCCGGACTGTACACCTGCCAGGCGCAGAACTCGGTGGGCACCTCGGAGCAGCTGTCGGTGCAGCTGGACGTGAAATGTGAGTCCCTTTCAATATTTATCTTGGCCGCGTTTGCTGCTCTGCTAACTTTTGCTTAATTTTGTATTGACGCTCGCTTCCTTTGTTTACTCTGCCACAGATCCTCCGAAAATTATTTCAGCCGGCCCGGACCGCCTCACCACAGCGCCGCTCTTCAGTCCCGCCGCCTTCGAGTGCGTCGCCGATGGCAATCCCATGCCAGCCTACAAATGGGTCCAGAGGTGAGTCCCCTTTACCCTAACCCGATCCAGGCCACTCGAATTTCCCTGCTGCATACTTTTGGGTGTCGCGTCTCTCACGCAGCACTCTGCCACACTCTGCGCCAAGAATGCCCGCCTCCTGCTGCTCCCAGTGCGTGAATTCATGCTTTCTGTGCGATATATATGCACACTATACAAATAAAACCTTAATATGCCGTTGCTTCATTAATCTGCAGCAGCTTGTTGACACGGCTCACATGCCGTATGCGTAATGTAGCTCTCAAAGGCAACTGCAAATTGCAATGTGCTGCACTCCGATATATTGGTTTTAACTTATTTATTTTAAGAGAAGAAACTTCATACGCATTGCTTACTCATCGAGCAATACTCCAATGAGTTTCTCCTTTGCTTCCCTGCATGAAAACAGTTTCCACGTATGGTGGCATATCATCCTATCATCTTATATAATGCTAGTAATAAAGAGTGAAAACTAATCTAACCACAGGATATGAATATTAACTTCAATATGATCTGGACCAAAACTTTAAATCATGTCTTTCACGTCGACTTCATAAATTTTATGTAGTGGAATTTGTGATAAAAATAGAATTGCGACTGAGCACAATATTTTGGATTAAAAATGTAAAGATTAAAATACTCAATATCCATATCTGAATTATTTTACATACATATGTAGTATCTATGGAAATTATGATATATCTGGAACTAGAGAGGCGCCAGCTTTGAGCTAGTTATTATAAGCCATACACAGAAAGGTAGAAAAAGAGTCATAGTCGAAGAAGTAGAAAAGTTGAAAAGAAGATGTAAGCAGTTCGCAAGAAAGTTGAGGATAAGACAGTTTAAAATCCGCAAATAAGATTATTCGCGATCATAAATTTGAAGTAAATCTACTATAATGAAATATATTATAATATAATAGAGTTTGAAGATTTATTATGAAGGAACAAATAATTCTTTATAACTATTATTAAATACAATTCCTACATACATTAATCTTTATATTCCCAATATTCCTACTACTGTTTTATTTACCTAATGTTTATATATACCTTGTAATATTTTCTTAATTTGTTTGCCTTTATTATAATTGCGAATCATGCAATTCTATTAAAAGTGATTTATTGCATAATCTAAGCTTCAGCTTTTCATTTGAGCACTCAAGAACAATTCATCAACAAAATTTTGATAGCATAGTAATTCATTAAACATAAAGTATTAGTTGAGTCATAGCGAAAACAAAATGCCTTGGCCAAGCCAAATTTAAAATACCGACATCGAAATGTTTTATGATTACAGTTTAGTTGATAGTTTAAATCAGTGTTCAAATACTCAGATGATACAGTTAATAGTAAAGGAGTCACAAATAGCTGAAAACAGCCAACAACTCAGAGGAGTGTATACAGAGTTGGCTTCATTACAATATGATAATAAACTAGAATTGAAATGAGAAAATAAAATTTCCTGTATGCGGGAGCGCTTCCTGTGGAAGCAGTGGCAGTGGCAGTTACAGTGGCAGCAGGAGTCGCCGCTGCAGCAGCTGCCATTAATGCGCACAGCTCTGAGGTCACGCCCAACATTTTTTCACTTGAAGTTTGCGTCATTTAATTAGCTGCACAGCGGAAATTGTGCACAAAATGAGCGAGTGAGCGGGTAATGAGGGGCTGAGCCAGCAAGTGGAGAGTGGGGCGCGAGTCAAAGCGAGTCCTCTTCAACATTATCTGACCCTCTTTTATCCGGCTTGAATTAGTAAAATATGTTTATTTATTTTTATTGAAATAAATCCCACAATTTGAGAATTAGTTAAAAAATGGCAATTCAGCTGGGAAATTACATAGATTTATTTAGATTTTATTTACTTTTGATGCGGCTTCAATTACGACAGCCACAACTTGCCTTACATGGTCGACTAATGCATCCTTTAGTGATCCTGTAAAGGAAGGAAGCAAACTCCGACCCAAGGCGCTGCAGCTAAACAGCATCCTTCTTCTTCGTTTTAGAACATTTTTTAATTAGCAATTTTGTGCTGCTTTCTATGGCATTTTCCCCTTTCCCTTTCCCCCTCTTCACTCCATCTGCTATAGGGGCAGCCGCAATTTACTGTGGCCGACTTCTGTGCAGCTTCCTGCTGCTGCGCTCGGGTACATTAATATGCAAAGCAGTGGCACACTCATCCGTCCGCTTGTCCATTCAACAGGCAGCAGCTCGTCATGTTGGAAAAATCGAAATAGTCCACATCACGTGCAGCGCCCCACTCCACTCCACTCTCCACTCGCTCTCCCGCTTTGTCATTCTCTGTCTCACTCTCCTGTCGTGTTGCTGCCTGCCACAAAGTCAAACCCGGAGCTCTCAGATCAGACGCCGACAAGCAGCCCGTACGTGATTTGAGATTTCATTTGTTTGTATTTGCCCCTGCAGCTACTCATGCGACATATGAATGCCTCAGCAGGAGCCGTTGCGTTCGACTGTGTGTGGGAGGGGCTCTGCTTAAGCAGATTCGCCAGCGCGTCAAATTCTAATATCCAATGCCACATGCAACGCGCTGCCGTGTTGACTTAATGAAGCGTGCCCGCGCGTGTTTATCAGAAATTAAATGTCAATTGTTGAAAACTAATTTCCACGCGCGCCCCGCCTCCTCCTCTCCTATCGTACCAAAGACACATTAAATGGCGCGTGCCAAGCAAAACCAGCAAGGAGCAATGTCTGTGTGTGTGTGTGTGTGTGTGTGCAATAAATCAATGGTGTGCGCTGTTGACAGGCTACCTATGCCTCTGAGGTGGCTGGCATGCCGAAGGCACCTCGACCGCTGGCCAACAGCCAACAGCCAGAAGCCAGGAGCCAGGAGCCAACAGGGGGAACCACCGGCATGCAAATGCAACCACACAACTGCCCGCCACTCGGCCACTGGGCCAATGTATTTGCTAAAGGAAAAGCCCCGGGGGAGGCATAGGAAAGGCATGTCACTTTGATTTACGTGGAAAATTTCGACGGCGAGCCCCGCTGAATGGGCGAAGCAGCGAGCGCTTTGTGCCTCGCATTTTTCCATCGAATTTTTGCGACTTCATTTGTGTGCTGCTGGATTTGCATTTAAATGGCTTTCAAATTTATTGCTTCTAATTGCGACGAGTGTGCTGCTCCACGGCACCGCTGCACCACTGTCCCGCCTCGAAAGCCGCTTTAATTGGCGCTTTAAGCTGGCGACACACGCTCCCCAAGCAGAGCCAAGCTGAACTATGCGCACATATCAAAGGAATTTGTCTGTGACCCCGGACCGACAGGACCCAAAGCTGTGGCCAAAATCAGTATGGATGGCTCTGGAGCTGTGGTGCTGGGTAGCTGTGTTGCTGTATTGCTGCGGAGCTGTGGAGCTGTGTCGATGCTGAGCTGAAAGCATTTCGCAGCATAAAAGGCATTTCTCATATTAAAAAATGTATCAAATATTTTTTGCTTGCAACGAAGAGCAACAAAAATATTTCGCCCACAAACGCAATTTTCAATATTGCTGCACAAAACTTGCAGCAGCAGTTGCCCCCTTTGACTTTCCAGCCCCAGACCCCACCCCCACCCACCCCCTTTCAGCTGCAATGTGGCTGTTGCATTTTTCCCAAAATGATTTGCAGCTCAAAAAGCTGACAGTAAGAGAAACGAAAGTATAAAAACATGTGCGTAACAGAGCAAGGCGAGGCAACGTCTTTGCTCCACCCCCTCCACCCACCGCTCTTTTCCAACCTCTATTGATCTGCTTTTTCATAGACGTTTCTCTGATTTCCACTTGCAGAATCTCGCATGGATCGAAGTACGTGGAGCGCGGCAACGAGCCGCGCCTGGTCATCGACAACGTCACCTACGAGTACCAGGGCGAATACGAGTGCCGCGCCACCAGCTACATCAATGGCCAGGAGCGGGTGGCCATATCCGATCCCGTCTCCCTGCAAGTTGTGGGTAAGTGCTCCAGCATGCACACAGCTCTTTTTTGCACACACATGTTGCTGTCGGACAGCCGCAAAGCCGCAATGCCACAAAATACTACGAACAGGCACAACTGTCGCCAGCCACAGAAAAAATGCTGTACCAACTATGCATATGAGAGTTGCTGAAAACTGAGTTACGACTTGCCGAGCAACTGTTGGCTAAGCTGATGGCCAGTAACAACGGCATCGACTACCACAAGGAACCCAACAGAAAGTCACAATATCACACGCAGGAGATTCAATACTCTTTTAAAATTGGGTAAACTGACCAATTTTAAACCAGTCATGCATCACTTATATCTTAGACTTTTCTCATCAAATATGAGGGTAGTATCTCAGAGACAATGAGGGCTGGATAAGCATTTTCAGATATATTTTTATACCTATAAAAATATATATTCGAATAAAAAACTTCAACCTTTAAGAAATCGGCCCAACAACTGCTCCTCCTGGTTATCTGAATACATGTAATAGGCATTAGATAACTTTTTCTGGTTGGTTTGCCTTTCTTCCGCAGAGCTTATAATTTCCAAGATGATAAATAATTTTAAATATATGTGTTCTTTTTTTTCTAAAATAATTTAATTGATAGAGAGTTAAATTTTAGCTTATTTTTAAAAGAGAAATACAGAGTTCAATTAAAGTCAGTCAGGAATTGAGATCCAGTAATTTAAAACATAATCAAAATTTACGCAGAACATAAAGGACGCTCTATCCAGTGTTAATATGTTTATTATATTGTTTATATAATATTGCCGTTCTATGCAATTCTCACGAATTCGTGCTAGAAATCAAAAATTAAAATATTTAATTCTATTTAAATGGTGTATGTGTATGTATACGTTTATATATGTATATACACATACATATATGTGTATAGGATTTACTACAGGTAAGCTTAAATGTTGACTATGCCTTTGTAACTCTGCCTATGCTGCTGTTTAAATAAAATTTAGGTACTCACTTTTTAAGAATATAAGAGCAGCAAGAGAGAGCAAAAAGAGGGGAAAGAAGGAATACCAATGGCCAGTTGTAAATTTACAGCCACGTTAAAAGCAACAACTCGGCGTGTGCCCCATGTGGGCAAAGTTAGTTGGCTCGCTAGTTTGTAACCTCTATCTCTGTCTCTCTCTTTGTCTAGTTGTCCCTCTTTACTGTTGCACATCTTCGTCGCGTATTCTCCGTGCAACTAATGCTCACTTAAAATAACACAAAACTCCATTAAAAACTGCAACCGGAAAACGCGTCGAAACCGTTTTAAGCGCCTGCGATTTGGCCAATGCCCCCACCATCCTCCATCGTTTCCCCCTCTATCTCTATCTCTCCGTTTCTCCCAGTATGTCCCCTTCTTTCTGCCAGTCGGAAGCTTCTCCCGGCCTCAATTTTGGGCTGCAGGCGCCGCTGGTCTCACTGCAAGCGGCAACTGGCGCTGGCAACAGACTAAACCAAAATGTAACACAAAATCAAAATGAACTTATGACCACAAGCATAAAAAGTGAAAAAGTGTGGAGTAAAAAAGTGCAGGGTATAAAAATGCAGACAGCAAACAAAAAAGTGAAGAACGCAGAAGCGCGGCGAAATAGAACAACAGCCATGGCCAACACAGCCGCGAGCAAGCGTCGAGTAGCCAAAAAGGACAACAAAAAGAAAAAATACCAAATAGAGAGACAAACAGTCAGTGAGAAAGAGAGAGCTAGAGAGCGGGAGGCAATGGGTGGGGGCAACATATATATTTAAATTTAGTGCTGAATACCACAGCACGTACATAATTTATGACCAACCAAGGACACGAGCAATTTAGCAGAGGCAGCCAGGAAAAAAAGTGCTATATCCTTTATATGTCTGTGGCAAAAAAATAAATCGAAACTGTGTCCACGCTCGCTGCATACACATATACGAAAACATACTCGACTGTGTGTGTGTGTGTGTGTGCTTATGTGTATGTAAAGTAACTAACGAACTAGTTAACTGACAACAGCTAAAAAAAATAAATTGAAAAAAAGCAAAGCTCATTATGTGCAGCTGCGCACTCACGACTTTCAAATACCCTGCAGGCAGCAAAGTTTGTCAAACTTTCAAACTGGCCAGAGACATTTAAAATTCGCTTAGTCTCGCTTGCCAACAATTTATGCTTAGCATAGGCAAGCATTCGTTTTGATTTATACTTCCCAAGTCTACTTCTGCAGCTCTAAAAGACTTTAGGATGAAATTTATGTTTGCTTAAGCACACCTAATGCAAAATGCTAGCGTTCCCTTTTATAATGTATAACATATACTCGTACAGGGATACAGGCATTAAACGGACATTAACAAAAGTATCTATACTGGTCATTGCATATAGAAGATCTTAAAAAGTGAAACATGTGCTCAACTTTTGCTATGATGGGAACTGTATTTCAGTAAATCTAAAAATATGCGAATATTTAATATTTGAGGATGTATAAAAATAATTTACGAATAAAATACTTTATTTTATAATATATGAATATAAAAGAGCTGCTGATGTAGACGTCAGCCACAGCAGAGAGATGCAGAGAGAAAGATAAGATAATGGCGACAGATACGTTTCTTTAAAATATCTTAATTATGCATAGAGTAGATGTAAGAATGAGTCGCCAATCAAGCCAAAAACATTTCTGTTATGTGGGAAAATGCTTTTCTTAATCCTCTTTTTATGGGTTTAATATACATTTAAATATACATTTAAAAGCTATTCTATTATGATTATGTTTAATGTATGTTGGTTTGGTTTTTTTAAATGCACCAGGCAGTATATATAGTATATAAAACCTATAAAGTATATAAATTCATGATCAAGGAAACGAACTGCGTCGATTTAAACAAATAGAAAAGTGAACATTCAGTTATATTTTTTTCATATAACACCATTGTTAAATACTTTTATGCTTGTCATACGTGAAGCATTTGCAATATATGAGTTTTCTTTTGCATTTTTCAGGTGCTCCGCAGGTGCTTCGCCTGCATCCCTCGATGCACACAGTGTCTGTTAAGCGCGGCGAGCCRGCCAGCCTGACGATGGTCGTCTGCGCGGATCCGCGACCGCAGCTCGTGGCCTGGGAGTGGGGCTCGCTGCGCCTGGAGGCCGGCACGGGCATAGGTGCGTATACTTGACGTCAACTCGCGCGCTTCATTGGGCAGCTAATGCAAATATAATTAGATGCTCGCATGAGGTTTTTCTTTTTCAATAAGCCGCAACTCAATTAACGCACATTCAAATGTGTGTGTGTGCGTGAGTGTATGTGTTTGGCCAGCTCTGCCTCTCGGCTGAGTGCTCATTAACAAACCTTTTCCGCAAATGTGACACTGAACAAACGTGGAGCATGCTACGTGCGACTAAACGGCAAACGGCAGACGGGAGCAGGCAGACGCAGGACAACGCACAAATCAAGACAAATTACATGTCCAGGAGTCGGCAGCTTCGATGCCAAAATCAGACGAATGCCGCCGTCATGTTGCTGTAGTGTGGCATTAGCATTGGCAGCCCTGCAGCTCGCTCGTCCATTGGCGATGCTCGAGCAGACTTCCCACGCCTGTCAGCCGCCGGTAATCCCGGCTCGCAGCTGACAGCAGGATGCCGCGCCAGCCCTGGCCTCGCATGCAGTCTAAACTCGTTTTTCAGTCTAAACTGTGCTGCATAACGCATTTTGTGGAGCTGCAGCTGCAGCTGCTCCGACAGCTGTGCTGATCCATCTCCAGCTTCGCCTGGCAACAAATCTAGCACATTACTCTTCATTTTCAGCTTGTCTGCGTGCGCATCCGTCTGGCTGCCGTCCCTGGCGTCCCCGCTGTCTCTGCTGCAGTCCATCTGTTCCCGCCCGCCCCTCCGTGCGTGTAATCCGGCGTGCTTGCCGCTGACAGGAATCAAGCAAAGCGCATTGCAAGCCAAATCGCACGCAGCTTCGACTCCTAATCGTTGCGCATTCGCCACGCTGTCTGCGCATCATTTGAACAAGCCACAAATTCTAATGATTAATTATTCATACCATAAGATACGCAATTATCTCTCTCACTCACTCTCTTCTCTCCCTCTGTCTAGATCGCTTTCGGGCCGATGACATGCTCACGGACTCGCGCGAGGACTGCTACCTGTCCACGCTGCACATCCACCACACGGACGAGCACGACTCGCGCCCCTACTACCTGGTGGTGGAGAACGAGCGGGGCACCGATCGCCATGCCATTCATTTGATTGTGGAGGGTACGTTTGCAGGTGCCTAGTGTTTTCTTTATTTTTCTATACCGTTTACACTTTAGTTCAAGAACATTTCATATTGCAATTGCAAGCACTTTTTAGTGGATCAATATAATATTCCTCCTGCTATCCAATTATCTTCCGCCTGAAAGTGTTTACAGACTTGCTCTTAATTTTTCACTATTCCTGTAATACTCGATCTAATTTCACACTGCATGCTAAGCACCCACTAGATATTTCTCATGTCCTCGCTATAGCCTTTACTTGAATTAAACTCGAACCTTTTATACAATTAAATCTTCCCTTTCTGCTGGCATCGACTGGCGTCTGGAATTATTCAATTATGGTAACTCTTGCCGCAGAACCTTTGGAGATGAGCTACTTGCTGGGCGTCGCCGGCGGCTGCATGGCCGCCATTCTGATCCTGATCTGCCTGTGCATCTACGCTGTCAAGAGCAAAAAGTGCTGCTTCAAGGGTAAGTCGAAGGCCTGGCCAGGGGCCGGCCAGCTGCTCATTAAAAATGATAGACTCGAATCGCTCAATGCGAGAGCAGCAGCAACAATTGCAGCTGCGCCAAACAATTGCCAGCTCTCGGAGCGGGACGCATATTAATTACGCGGCGCTTCAAAGGGAATGCGCGTCGCAGCAATTAAAGCATTTGCCCCATTATGCCGCCAGATGGCGTTGAACCTTACCGCCGGGTGGGATTCGCATTCGCTTGCCACGTTTTGCTGTCATACTAATTGCAAAAACACAAAAACTTGCACCAAAGCCAAAACACACAGAAAACAACAACAACAACAACAATACAAAGCAACAGAACAGAAAAAAGTAGAAAAACCGCGCCTTTCATTTGCTTTTCTATTCTGTTTTCTGTTGCTCCTTTTTATTCGTGCTTTCTTGTTTTTTCCTCTTCTTTGAAACTCAAATAAATCTCATAAAATATTCATTAGCGAGTTTTGCGCCGCCGACGCCTGCGGTCAGCTGGCTAACACAAAAGGGTTAAGGTCCTCCAAGGAACAACAATTATACATATACATTCACTACAGTAGATTTTATTTTTATTGTGCTCTGACTGTAAACGCGTCTGCTTAAAGTCGCAAGGTCTGCTGCTAGCAGGGGGGAGCAGGAGGCGTCGGTCGCCTAATTAGAAATCAAAATCGAGTCGCAAAAGTTTTCACTGAGCGCGCAATTAAAATGCACATTTGTAAAAACAATTTACCAAACAGCAAAAGGAAAACAATTTAGAAAACAGCAAAAAAATGTGTTGAGAAGAGGAGAAAAGTTTTTGTTGGGAAACTTGCTCAAGGACATCCAAGGAAACTTTTGTGGAGTCGGGCTTTAAGGAATTCGCTCTGGGAGCTGCACTGGCCAATTGGCCTGCTGCCTGGCATATAGCTGTAAAGTGTAAACTTGAGTTCTAAATAAGGCTAAATCCCCAAATAGCACGGCGCGTGCAATTTCTCAGTTGTCAATCAAAACGTCAATTTACAAACAGGCGCAGGAGCAGCAGGCGCAGGAGCAGCAGGCGCAGGAGCAGCAGGAGCAGCAGCAGCAGACGTGAAAATTGCTGCAGCTGGCGCCGATTGCCAACTTATCGAATGGCATTTGACAGATCTTTCTTTCACACCGACACATGCACACACACACACACACACACAGACGAAATCCATCACAATTACCCCGCTCTCACGGCCGAGTTTAGGGCAACTTAACACCTCTTGGCCGTCAATTGTCTCACGGCTCATTTGTCAAAATGTTGAAGCTGCAGATACAAATGTATCTGTATCTGTATCTGCAGCCATCTATCTATCCATGTCTGTCTGTCTGTCTGCTGGGTGTCACATATGTCCGTGAGCTTGGCTTTTACTCAGCCTAAAGTGCCAGCATAGCTCCCAAATAGTCTATATACTATATGCCATATACATAAATATATATTTCGTGCGAAAATACAAAGCAATTCTCTTATATATATTATTTTCACTCGCCTTTGCAGGTTCCACGGGCTATAAATCATCGGATAAGGACAGGTAAGTTGAAGCGAAACACAGACCACTCACATATACACACTCTTGCACTCACACACACACACACACACACAGAAATCGCACAACAAATGGCCGGTTATGATACATTTTTATAAAAGGCAAAAGCAATGCAACTTGTGGCCAACAGGTGGCGCTGGCATGCCAATTTATGCGTCCCCACTGGCCACACCCACACCTATACCCACGCAGTCACTCGCCTCCCCCGCCCATGAGTAATGTGTGCAGCGTGTGATTGTGCAGAGTATGAAATATTCTATGCTATATTATATATTCAATATTGCAAAGTCGGCTTTTGGAAAATATTTTCCTGTTTTGCGCGCACATACACACACATACACAGGCGTGCACACACGCATGCCAACAATGCGAAACACGCCCCTTAACAATCGCTCATTGCCGCCCCTCATTTTGTCCTGACATGAGTTATGAGGCTGTGGCAGTTATTTGGCTCTCGGCTACAGTCGCTCCTCTTTCTCCTCTTTCCTCCTCCCTCTCCATTTGTCCATTTAATAATTACCATATTTCGTTTATGGAATACCCTCTCGAACACACATACACGCACACACACAGGCGAGTCAAAAATCGCAAAGAATAGTTTTTGTGTGTCGGTAGAGCGGAAATGGATTTTGAATTTCCGTTATAAGCATAGTTGGCAACGCCACAGCCACATTTCCAGCGGCATTCATTATTTATGCGCGCCAAGCGGCTACGCAAACCCAGAAACTGGGCCCCAAACAACTAACAACCAAATTCATACAATTTTTGTATCAATCAAAGCGTAACGAAAGATTTTGTCAAACGCTCCAGCCCCCCGAGGGATCTCGTTGGGATTTAATAACCAACGACCAAGCCACCACGCCAGCCCGACATCCACAATGCCAAAGGGCACACGAAATAGCTGGATATTTAGATGTGCGATTGGCATGAAATATGCCAATCAAACGGCAGCAAATTAGACCAAACAGCGACTATTGTGTGCCAGAACACGAAATGCCCTGGAAAATTTATCTGTCTTTCTTGTTTCCCATTTATCTGTCCATTTTATTTTGAGAATTTTCAAAAGAATCACAGTTGAAAACAATTTTTTGTTTTTTAAATTAAATGAAAATAAGTCAGCAGTTCTTTAGCTAAAGATGATCGAAGTCAAAAGAAAATAGTTACTGAAACTAAAGAATCACAAACGTATAGAAACCATGGCAGAACTTAAAATATAAACAAAGCCCTTGAAAACTAAAATATTCTAAATTAATTTATTTATGTTGAATAAAAGATTGACAGATTTATGTGAATCTTCAATATTGTTAATAAATACATAAATACATTGATTGAGCTAACTAAAACTAATCTCATAAATTTAAATTACTTTTAATTAAAATTTAATGAAGATTCAAAGATTTATATGAATCCATAACAGATTTTAAGGACACAAATAAAAAAAGATAAATAATAAAAATATATTTATCTATGTTAAATAAATTAGATATGAAATTTATGTTGAACAAATGAACCCATTGCAAACAAAATAAAATTTAAAATTAGCTAAAAATTAGTTAAAACTGAATATATTAAATATACATAACAGATTTATATAAATCCATAGCTGTTTTTAAGGATAAAAGAATACAATACAGCTAGATTTGTTTATATTTATTTTAATAGCTTTTCTATTAGTAACAGATTCATAAATAGAATAGTAAAACGGATTTATATTCACCCAATCAATTTTTAAATATTTGTTTAGATTATTAGAATCCAGGGCAGATCTCGGCAGTTCACACACATCAACTTGTATCTATCTACCCCACACAAAACGCTCTCTCTCTCTCTCTCTCTCTCTGTTTGATTAGAAATGTGTTCGATAACAATTTCATTTTCTTTCTCTTTCTCTTGCTTGATTTGTGCCCGCAGCGAGAAGGCTGATTTGAAATCACGGTCGGATAGCACCAGCGGGCCCCAAGGTGATTCGATTTACACAACGCCCGCCGGCTTCCATCATCACCAGCAACAGCAGCAGCAACAGCAGCAGCAGCAGCAGCAGGCGGCAGCTGCCGCAGCAGCGGCATTGCACGCCGCCTCGCAGCACCCACAGCAACAATATCCGGGACATGGATCGCCGGAGGCAATGAAGGTACGCATGGCTGCAATGATATTACAACCGCCCACTAGGGTCTAGCAGGCAGTTGATAACGAAAGCAACGAGCTTCTCTATCAACAACAGCAAGCCCAACAACAACAACAACAACAACAACATGAACATGAACATGATAATAGTAATGCCAACACCAATACAAACACCAACAACAATAATAATAGTATAACTAACACAACAACAACAACAACACCGACTGTAACTGCAACTGCAACTGCAACTGAGACACTGACCAATAGCAATAACAACAATACATTAGAGTTAGCCAAGAGCAGCAGCAGCTCCCACAGCCTTAGCCTAGCCAGCACGCTAAATAGTAGCAAGAATAGTAGCAGAAATAGCAGCAGCAGAGGGAGCAGCTACAAGCAGCAGCAGCAGCAGGAGTTGTCAGAGCACAAGCCACCTGGTATTGAGGGTAAAACTCTGCTCGACTTGAATGTTGGGAGCGAGGAGCTAGAGGGTAATCAGGTAGCTGATCATAGCTCGAGTGCAGAGGACAATAAGCCAGTGGACGGGCAGCTGAGTGTCGAGGAGACGCAGCTGCTGCTGCAGAAGCTGAGCATCAACAATCCGTTCTACCGCTTTCGCAAGCAGAGCAATTCGCTGCGCGAGCTGCGCCGCCTGCATCGCCAGATGCGTCGGCATAGGTCCGAGACGGATCTGCAGCACTCGGCGCGCCAACTAGATACACACCAACACCTACACCAACACCAACACAATGAAGCCAAAGTTGTAGTTGTATTAGACCGTAAGCAGAACGTAGGGTTAAGTAGTTGTAAGCAAGGTATGAGTAGCACTAAGACTAGATCCGTAAGCAGCCTTATGCCCGACAACTCCACGGTGATCACGAATCCGTTCTCCATCTTTCACGACGACGAGATCCTCACGCTGGGCGTCAATCCGCGCCTGCGCAGCGCCAGCGCGACGCGCCCGCAGCGCAGCGGCAAGGGTCTGCGGCGGCTCTTCGACAGACAGCCAAATGCCGTCCCGGCCACCACCGCCCACCACCAGCAGTTCCTGCACGGCGTGCCCGTGCGCCGCTTCGAGCGCCAGGACTTCGACCAGGCAGCTGTGGGCGCGGCGCAGAAGCCGAAGCGCGCGAAGGCGATCTTCAAGCAGCTCTCGCTGCGCCGCCTGCACAAGCCGGAGGAGCCGCCCTCGCTGCCCAAGCTGAAGCTCAGCTACCGCTACCCGAATCGCACGCAGAGCATCCAGAGCATGCGCGCCGCGGGCAGCGGGGGCTACGACATCCAGCACGCGCCCTACCGGCCGCGCCTGCACGTCTCCACCACGCCGAAGTCCAACTACTTCGAGCGGCTGCAGGCGAAGACGAGGCATGGCATTCAGAAGATACGGGACAAGTGCCGCAACTTCAAGGCGAGCAGCAGCGACGCGAGTAGCAGCAACGGCGGCGACTTCAGCGGCTTCCACACGCTGGCCAAGGACGAGAGCTTCCGCTTCATCAGCGACCGGGCGCACATCTCCAGCTACGAGTCCCGCTGCGCCGCGGCCCACGCCGCCGGCAAGCAGGCGACGATCTACAAGAGCTATAAGTCGGAGATCGACCTGAGCAAGAATCTGCACTACCTGGAGCACTACCTGGAGCAGAACTTCGAGCAGCAGCTAAGCAGCAGCCGGAAGTCGGCGCACTCCGTGGGCCGCATCAGCGGCACCCAGCGCCGCGCCCTGGCCAGCGCCCAGCGCATTCGCGAGACAGAAACGGAAACGGAAACGGAGGGGGGCAGACCGCCAGCAGCTGCGGGCACGCCGCGGCGACGCCACAAGCGCAGCCAGTCGCAGGCCAACAGCCAGATGGCGGCCAATTACGAGAATCTGGGAACCCTGCCAATTTCCGCGCGTGGGGCGGGGCGCGGCAAGGCGCAGCAGGTCTTCCACTCGGACTCGCTGAGCAGCTCGGACTATGCGTCCGTGTTCAGTGGGCCCACAGTGACGAAACGGGCCGAMACGAGTTTGCAGCAGGAGGAGGAGGAGCAGCAGAAGCACCAGCAGGATGCAGAGTCTGCGCTCAAGCTGCGCTACGAGCATCCGGATAAAATGTGTGAGTACTACTTCGATAATCTGACCAGCTACGCGCTGGCCTTGGAGGAGAGCGAGGACCTGCTACTGGCAGAGAGCGCCAAGTCGGCGCGGTTCTTCTACTACGACGGCGAGGAGGAGCCGCATGCCGTTAATGAAGTCGCAGGCATTGAGGACGAGGCTGACAATGACGATCTAGTAGCGCCTGACGGACCAGACTACATCACGCGCGACATTCGCATTCGCGTCAACGTCAACGAGTGCGACGAGCATGCTGATTGGTACCAGCGCCAGCAGGAGCAGCCACTGCAGCAGCAGCAGTTGTTGACGACATCGTATAATGAGAACTTGGCCGAGAGCACATTCTATCAATCACTCAATCAGCACTTGCAGCGACAGGACGACAGGCTGAAGCCTGAGCCGGAGCAGGGGACGGTGTCGGTATCGGTGCCAGGGTCGGGGTCGGTGGCTGAGGCGATGGCTTCCTCCTTGGGAGGCGGCGAAAGCTACTTGGCGCACTTCCAGCGCAGTCGCAGCGACTTTGAGCGGATCGAGCGAGGCAGCCAGCTGCGTCCAAGCGCGGACATCGACCGTATGTACGAGCACGGCGAATACTACGGCTTTGGCGGCGACCCGGAGCTGCTGCACTCCACCAAGCAGCGACGCGCCGACCTCATGGAAGCCCATTACGCGCGGAGCTATCCCACAGCAGCAGCAGCAGCAGCAGCAACAACGAGTCAGTTTGTGGAGCGCACACTGCGTGGTGCTGCAACAGCAGGAGACGCACCACCGACTGCAACCACAATGCCGGCAGCTAACGCTGGCGCACTGGCTTTGGCTAGGCCAACCAGCGATGCGCTCTACGCCACCAGCAGCAAACAGCAGCAGTTGCAGCTGCGACCAGCAGCCAGTGTTATGGGAGCGACAACATCAACAGCAGCAGCAGCAGCAGGAGCGACAACAACTGCAGCAGCAGCAGTGGCAGCTGCGACGCCTGTGGCTGCCCCATCAGCTGGAAACGCAAACAGCAATACGAGCGCAAATAATCGCTACATGTTGGAGAATTTGCGCAAATACTACGCAAATCAGCAGCAATATCCGCCCGCACACTCGCTCAACTCCTCCTCGCTATCCAATTCATCATCCTCGAACTCGTCCGTGTCGCAGCAGCAGAAGCTGCAACTGCCCAACCACATCTCTAAACACCACCACCAGCAGCAGCAACAGCAGCAGCTGCGTCGCAACTCGAGCACCTCGAATGCCTCCTCGACAGCGGACAATTTTGACACATTCATTGCGCTGCGCCAGGCCGACTACATGGCCCCCAAAGGGCCCCAGCAGCAGCAGCAGCAGCAGCAGCCACAGCGTCGTAGTCAGCATCAGAGTGGGTCGGGCAAGGCACCGCTAATCTCGGCGCTCAACTATTACGGGCATGGCCTGTCGGACGGTGGCAGCAGCAGCGGCAGTGTCCTCACATACAATGGCAAATTATCGGCGACCGCAATGTTGTCACAAGTAAATTTGGGCAGATCAACAGCGCTGCATCAGCAACATGCCGCGACACCCGCAACAGCAGCAGCAGCAGCAGCAGCAAAGCCTGCAGCAGTAGCAGCAGCATCAGAGAGCTTCATAGTGGAATATGAGTGTTAGCGCACGATTAAATTACTATCGATCCATTGGGGCCAGGTGCTAAGCTTGCTCGCTGTGGGTGGTGGGTGATGGCTCTAACCACGCGACAACGAATTGCGTATTATTTCGCCAGCTATTCGATAGTCCGTTCTATCCGCCTCCCACTCTCCCCCTCTCACGCTCTCTCTCTCTCTCTAACCAGATTGAGTTTTAGCCAAAATTACAATTACAAATTGTTAACGCAACTGATTGGATTAACTTCGTCGCCCGGACACAGCCCCCAGCGCCAGCAACAGACTCGCTATATATTTAAAAGACTCCGTTGGACTCAGGCGGGTCACAGCTAAAATAATCCCAAGCCTTAAAGACCAGCCCGCAGCTGTAAGTGTTCGCTATGCCCAAGCAGAATCTCCCGTTGATTGAGTGGTATATATATAACGTCTGTGTATATATGCTCGTAGAGTTAGGAATAGATTATCGTAAACTACTGACAATAATTCACTTCAATTAAGTTTCTTAGCCAAGTTAATAGCGCATATGCAAATTGTACTCGAAATTGAAGACAAATGCATCGGAATCAAATCTAGAAAAGAGAGATCTAAGCATAATCCTTCTACTATATCCACTATATAAATCAAATTTACTCTACATTAACTGATATGGAATCTTGATCCAAGCTAATCGTTGCAGCTTTTGATATATAGACTATATAAGATTATCGATTGTTCACATCGCTGTTAAGTTTCTCAGTTTAGCCTAGAACTTAATCCCAATCTAAAAGATATCCATTTGCACTCAGAGATTTGCAAGGATTGTTATATCGATTAAAGTTGAGCTTATACTAAAGTTAAAACTAAACTAGATGCTCAGCCATAGATTGCTGTCGACCAAAATAATGACTAGCTAGTTATTTGATTCCTTACAGAACCGAATCATTGCCGATCTCTGAGGGCAAAGTACTCCAAGTACTACGCAAAAATATTCAAAGTTTGCCGCAAAAATAATTAAATAGAGGCACGACTTTTCGAATGCAAGGCAATTATGTTTAATTGAAAACCCTAACAACAACAAGCAAGCATAAAAAACAAACTAAAAAACACGTAAATAAATATRTAATAATAATAATAATGAAAAACGCGAAAACAACAATTTGAGCTTCCACGTTGAAATAAAGGAAATTAAAACCACGTACTGCATTAAACGGCAGCAGCTAAATTTTCATGGCAACAACTACAACTACAACAACAATAAAAATAATGAGTGGCAGACGTAATGACAAAGCGCATAAAATATGAAAATCTGTAATTACGCTGAAAGCAAATAATATTAAAAAACAAACTGAAAAAATTAAAAACAGAAATGAAAGAAAATACGCTGAAAAAAAACATGATAAATTTATTTATTTATGCGGCAAAAGCGTATTACGTAAAAGGATGTAAATGGCTCTACTGTATTCACATGTACACCATACATATATATGTATGTGTGTGTGTGTGTGTGTATGTAAATGCATTTAGCTCCTATGTGTGTCAGTTCAATCAATAAGGTGTTTAACTTTTAAGTACAACTGTAAATACAACTACAACTGCAACTACAACTGCAACTATTATTGCAGAGCAGACGACATTCATTCATTCACTCATTCACTCACTCATTCATTCATTTGAGCATTTCGGGCATGCAATCACTCATTGAATTCTCATTTCTGTCAGACTCCGAGTATTTTTAATCAGCAACTCGTCAGACCAAATGTTGCACAAATATTTGTATGATGCCAGGCAGAAGTAGACAAAAAAAGAAAAGGGAAAAGTACTTTGAATTTTCGCAGTAACATATTCAAAATTATTGCATATGTGGCATCTGCTCGCATTTTTCAAGCCGATGCAATTATCTGTGTGCGCGCAATTTATCTCATTTGCGGCTGAGTTATTTCCAACTGCAGCAAATAACACAGACGAGGCGAGTGCCCCTCTCCCCGCTCTCGCTCTGTGATGGCCGCATCGCCTACCCATTCATTGCATTGCCCCCTCGTCCTGCCTGCCTTCCTTATTGTTGAACAGGCAACACTTTTCCGCTTAATTTACTGGCTGGCAGCTGGCTCGGCTGCCTCGTCTGGCTGGACTGCCTCGGTTGGCGTTGGGGCACCCAAAAGAAGATGCCACTGTGCCGCAGCACGGCCGGCGGTTGACAACAGCAATTGCTGCATAATGCATATGCCCAGTTGCTGCCCACTGTATGGGCCATGTTGATCCTGCCTGCTGCCTGCTGCCTGCTGCCTGCCGAGAGCTGCCAGGTCCTGTGGCCGCTTCAATTGCTGTTTGCCTTTCCACAGCAACAACAATAATAATTCATGGCGTGCTTTATGGCTGACCATCAACTTATCGGCAGTTGTTGCCACCCCAGCCCCAACCCCAGCCCCAACCCCCATCCCAATTCCAACTACGATGCGCACATCAAGAGCCGGCAGCAAATAAATTAATGAAAATCAAATTAAAATTTAAATTTAAATTTAAAATGAAYTCGGCTGTGCTGCTATCAGTCGTGCAACATCTTATCAGTTGACAACATACAAACAGCAACAACAACAACAAGAGCAACAACAACAACAGCAACATTCATTTGCATGTGAAAGGAATTTCAGTTAGTAGTATCCAATTCGATTATCGAGCTTCAGTGGGGAATAGGCAGAGATCAGAGGTCAGAAGCGGACTGAGGTATATCTGACAGAGACACACACACACACCCACACTCACACAGACAGACAAAGTATCACTGATCTATATCAAACGAAACGAAAACAGATATGAACCACACAGCTCTCTATAAATATAAATATATGAACGTATATTTATATTTATTTTTACATTTGATCCCATTCCTTTTTCTATGCCATGTTTACCGTTTGTTTTAAGTATTCGTGCAACAATAATAATATGGTAATGATAATAATAATAATAACAGCAACAGCAACAGGCAACCAAAAAACGCAGCCCTAGCTGCACCATTTACCATTTCTATATGCATACAGATATATATATACATATATATAAATAACTGTACAATTAAGTAACCGTATCTGATATACTTAGTATTTTTACTTAGGACATCTTGCTGCATTCGTCTCTCGTATTATTTCGAAATGTGCTAATGTTTTAGTTTAGTTTATGTTCATTTCGACAATTAGTTCATTACTCTTACAATTTTTTGATATTCGATGAGATTTACAAATGGGTTGTGATAATACACACACACAAACACACATACACACATACAATACTCACACACTCTCACACTTGCATATGTAATAATCTCACTAGCTACACCGAAATKCCAACGGAATGTGTACCCAGAAAAAAAAAAAAAAAACAAACAAAACTACAAATAATCTTATATATAAAGAAAAACAAAAACAAAAACTTAAGATACCAGAATATGTAAAACATCAAAATCAAAGCAAGTAACCAGTAATATCTGCATATATATACATACTACTATATAATAACTATTCGTAAACTGTAATAATGTATGTGCTCCGTGCATTTTGTGCATTCTCTTTGGTAACTCCTCGAACTCGAATCGTATGTTAATAACTCCGTTTCTATTTGTTTCTACTTGTATTAGTATTTATTTTTATCTTTCTTTGTTTTATTTTGCTTTGTTTTGTGTTGTGTTGTGTTTGGTTGTTCCTCGTTCTCCTCACCAAGAACTTGTCTAGTAAGCAAACCGGAAATGGCAATCACGGCTAACGTTACGCCCACCCACACAATCTTAGCTGTGCATCTATTCGTGAACCAGTTCCAGTTCCAGTTCGAAATGTTTGTTGCCTGTCTTAACAGCTATTATTTTGTACAACATGCCACATGCAACATGCAACATGCAACACATTTGTCATTTGATTAACAACCTTCAACCCGTTTATAGTCTCTCTCGCTCCCTCTCTCTCACTCTCACTCTCACTGTCAATGTCTGTTTTATTCATGTTTCGTTACTCCTTGTTTGTCTTGAGAGCTGAGGCATGGTTTATGAACTTTGAGGAAACAAACTGGGCGACAAATGTAGTCTAAGTTCGTCCCACATATTTTATAACACGAATATTTATTTTTTGTTAAAATTTAAATTCAAATTCAGATTTTAAAAACATTTGATTTTCGGTTGCATTTCATAAGCAAACACAAACTCAGGTCGATGCCTGTTGTTCTGCCTGCTGCACATTCAAACAAATTTGAGTTCGTTTCGTTCTGTTGACTCCGCCGAGAAATAAGTTTTACCCTCATTTTGATTTCCATTTCTTAACTGCTTATGCGGCATGTTGTCTCCGTTTCCGTATGTGTGTCTATATCAAATTACAGTTTTATCATTTTTGTGCAATTTCATGAAGTTCATGCCGAGTGAGATCTGACGCTGGTGCATTCAATTGGGTCAGTCAATGAATCGTAATTAATCCTTCAAGAAGAGCCTGTCTTTGCGTTTTGTTTTCGTTTTTGTTTTTGTTTTTGTTTTTGTTCGTTGTTTGCGCAGCGACTCACTCATAAATAAATGCCAGCTGTAGCGCAGACACGCACCACACAAAACTTGGCCAGTTCATAAATCAGAACTTGCAAGTGCCCCGCCCCCTCGGGCACGCCCACGCCAACGTCCTGGGAAGACGGTTGGCTCGACATGCAAAACTTTACTGTCGCCTCCTGCCCAGACTGTGCCCCGGGCATCCGTTAACAGTTTGCGCAATTTGTAAAGGGCTGAAATCAAGAAAAGGCATTTCATTGCATCATTACGCAATTGCATGCAACCCGCTAGCCACTTGCCACTTGCCACTTGCTGCATGCCACACACACAAACACTCACTCATACTATTCACTCAACTCAAGTCGACTTTCGGGACTCGAAGCGCAGGCTTAGCAAAGCTTAAGAGCCGCAGCTGTTGCCGCTTAATGCTCAGCACCATTGCCGCCTTCGCTGCCACGCCCACCGAGAAAGCGCGTCACTTGCGTTGCATTAGTCTTGTCTGCTAATAACTTGATCCAATTAATTGTTCGACACAACAAAAGGCTAAAGACAATGCGCAAAGTTTGCCTAGCCAACTCAACTTTAATCCCGCCTCAGCGTGCGTGTGTGTGTGTGTGTGTCTGTGTGTGTGTGTGGCATGTTGCATTTTATATTAACCAAGTTGAGGCAATAACTCGACGAATGCAACCGCAGCAGCGCATTAGACGCAGGTATTTCTTGCATATCATGGTTAGCACATACAAATGCGCACTCACCCACACACACTCACTCGGCACACACATACACACGCACAAAGCATACACCCCACACACACCCACCTGCTTTGCATGCAATTTCGGCATACTACTAACCTCTCTCGTGCAATGAACGAAATGCATTAAAAGTCTCATTTTACGCACTGCCAACTCGATAACAGTGGATTAATGCATTAAAGTGCCATGCATGCATGCACGCATGCAGCTCTTAATTACAGCCAATTAAAGCTGAGAGCTCAGAGCTGCAGGCAAGTACAATTTCTGGCAATATTCAGGCCTCTCCAGGCCCACTTTAAAGTCCACTCAAACCGCGAAACGAACGCGCAAACAAATCAAACGCAGCGTAATGCAAACAATAACAAAAACAAACAGCAAACAAGTATATATGTATATATACAATATATATTCATATACATTATATATTGTATATTGAGCGCAATTATTATAATTTCATTTTGCTGTCAGTCAAACAATGAAAAAACTGGATTTCCCTTATTTATTTTCATTTTTCAATTATTAAAGTAATAAATATTTTGAATGCGAAAAAAAGAAGTTAATAATTTGTTTTGGTCAACAAAAAGTACAGAAACAACAACAACAACATGCATTCCACGGCACGTTTCTCTCTCTCTCTCTCTCTCTACTTCTGTCTCTCTCTCTATAAATATAGAATTATATATATTTTTTCGATATATTTCAATGTGGCTTATGTTTTTTGTCTTGGAATCCTTTGCAACAAGTTTGAAAGATCTGAATTTGAGTTCTTAAATGTCGCGCTGCTTGGTTATTTGTTTTGATTTACATGTGTTTATTATATAATATAAGGACTATATATACCATATATATTATTACGACTATCTGTAAGATCAGCCCTTTCTCTTGATATGCTACCTTTACCACATAGATTTATTTAATTGTTTATTGTTTATTGTTTCTTAAATTTGAAATGATTGAGCTACTACTACGTTTATGCCTTTTAGTTAAAAGTAAAGATATACGAAACAGCGCGTTTGCAGAGGCCCATTAAGATTGAAATTAAACGGCCTGGCGGCCAAATTGCTGATAATGATCATAACCCTGTTGATGTTGGTGGTGATGATGATGATGACGTTTGAATCTCAAGCAAAATGCAATGTAAATGTGTGCACCTTGTATTTAATTTTAATCATTAAGTGTACCAAATAAAATATTCATATGCCTATTTATTTGCAACTGAAAAGCAATTGCAGTCGATTTTGAATAAAACTTATTTTCCATATACCAATTATCATTTTTTATTTTGTTACCCCATTTTGTACAAGACCCCGTTTGCATAGAAGTACGACTCCAATGTAACTCATATAGAGAGAGCCCTCGTTTACTATCCTAGCAAAGAGAATATCCAAACTCATTTTCCTCTCTCTCTTTTAGATCTGCTCCCTTTCAATAGATATTTAGCTCTATTTATTACTGAGATTTGTAATAATTTGTATTTTACGTAGCGAAAAGAGAGGAAAGAAGAGGAAATAATAATACAAATAAATAAAAAGAGTTTATATGATAATTATGGATGATGCAGAGCAACTACTAATTTATAACAAAAGCAGAAGAAGAAGAGAAACTGAGTTCGCATTAAACGATGAGCAAATTTATAAAAACAAAAAAAAAACAAAAAAAAAAAAAACAAAAAAAAACAGAAAAACACACAGGATAATTATAATAATAAAAACAATACGATTTAATTGCGAATGTGTACGTGTGTGGGTGTTAATATTTATTCATTTGCGTGTGCCTCGGTTCTTCATTTTTCATTTTTCATTTTCAGTTGAGTTTTCATTAATATTGCATTGGGCATTATTATTATTAATAATTATTGATTTTGTTCGTTGCATTCGTGTTCTCCACACTGGCGCGGCGTGTGTCCGTGTCCGTGTCCGTGTGGGTGTGCAAGCATTTGGATAATTTTACCCTCTCACTCACTCTTTCTCTCTCATTCTCACTGTCTCCCTTCCACTCGCTCGTATGGATGGAACAATACAAGTTTTTTCTGTTCTGATTTATTCATGATCCGAGCGGAGCGCTCGGCCGTTTGTTATGAATTTTTAAAGCTCTGTGCGCCGCTCTCTGTTAGTTGATTGAAAAACTTAAATATATATTCATACATGTTTCCCTTTTAAATGAAAGCAAACAAACAATGCAACGAAACATCGAAAATATGCGTAATTGAGAATTGTTGGCAATCAACAAATGCATTCCGATTCCGATTCTGATTTCGATTCGTATGCAGATCCATTCAACAAACACCCCATTCTAAAATCCCCAGCCCATCCGCACTCCCACATTGACACAGCACTCACACACACACACACACATATATATATACAATACACACACACGCTGACACCTTGGCAAATGTCTTAACTTGCATATATATAGCATTTATCTGGAAATTATAATTACTTTGTATCATTTGTGAGTTGCCCCCTATAATAATCATAGTGTAACCACGCAACCCACCTCACCCACCCAGCATACCTCACCCCACCCATCCACTTAATAAGCCTTGATTTCGCACATGTGTGCATACGAAACTTCCAGCAGGCAATTAAAACTTAATTAGCCCCATGAGAGAACTTTCAAATAGTTTCCCTTTCGTGGCCACGCCTAACGTTCCGATTTCCCGAAATTTCCCAGGAATTGAAGAAGGTAGAATTTGAAATGCTCATGTATTTTTAACATGGTCAGCGCCCCAAACTTGTTATCCTTTATCTCTCACCTCTCTATCTCTTTCTGTCTCTCTCGCTCTCTCTCTCTCTTTCTCTGTCTGTCTATAATTATTAATATATATACGCATACATGTAAATTGACCTTAACTTACCATAATATATGTATGTATATATATATATGTATGCATACATATATTCCATATATCTGAATAATATTAATGACTATATATTTATGTATATGATTATTTTTCTTACTTTTGATGACCTTTGATGATGTAATAATAAGCGAATGAACTGAATTGATTGACTTTTTACTTTGATATGTACCTTGAATTGTCATTTATATATATACGTTAATATATCCATTCCAAACAAAAAATTATAAAAAAACAAAAATATATATACATACATATTCGTACGCATACCGTAAAGAACGCCGGATATTTTGCTGCAATTCCCACACTCCTGCGTTCGTTCCTTCGTTCGTTCCTTCGCTCGCTCGTTCGTTCGCTCGTTCTGCTGATGATCGTGATTTGCGCATCAAATTTAACACTTACAACAATTTACAGTTAATAAGCATACTACTACTATTAATACTACTACTACTACTACTACTAATATTAATAATAACATTAATAATAATAATAATTGTACTTGTACTCGTACCAAGCTAATTTGATGACCTGATATGATATGATCATGATTTGTTATGTGGTGCAACCCCCGGCGTGTATACGAACGTTTTTTGGATTTTTTCAAGCTACATTATTTTACAAATTTGAATATATTTATACTTGTACTTGTACACAAAACATATATATCTCTACATACATATATATATATTTATATTTATGCCTATTAACCTATACGACAATTAATATACGACCTAGTCATACATATAGTGTACGCATCATTCAATGCATATTGTAATTTTTAACTGAATGTTCTGTGATAACCAGCGAAGCGCAACAAGAGATCCTCAAAACAAAACCAAATTCTCAAAAAACTCACACAGCCACATACACACATACACCGACACACACCCACACACTTACAGCAAAGCCACCCACACAAGGGCGACACACATCCACACATATTTGCCATTACCTAGCGCTCACCTTGTACAGTTTTATTTGTTGTGCACACACAAATACACACGCACACACTCACACAGACACACACTCGCATCAGCACGTGTCGTTTTGTTGTCACGATCATTTGTCGCACCACATGGCGTATACTTAATATGCGATCTGCCCTTGCAAGCAGCCGTTTCTGTTTGATGGTTTGTGGCTTATGGCTTATGTGGCGTGGAACAGCTGCCAGGCCGAAACTCATTATAAATTAATTAGCCCAGCAATTAATAATTTCACGTTCCATTTAAGTTTGTTAATGAATTAATATGCTCCAGAGCAACTGCAACAACAAAAACCATTAAGACTCATAGCGCACACAACACGCACACACACATATATACACTGACAGACACATATACAGCCTATAGAACAATAGACCTTCTAGCCACACACCGCCAACCGAAAAGGTATCCACCACTAAGCACCAACCGCACCACCCGCACCACCTGCACCATCAGCACAGCACCACGTCGCTCTCTTCTGTTTTTCCTTTTTCTTCCATTTCATTTTCTGTCTCGCTCTTTGCATTGTAGCCTTTCAGACAACATAACTACCCGTGAAATTTAACACCCTTTAGCATTTCTAATGTGCACCCTAAAGTAATTTGCATACAAAAAAGTTTGCGTTTGCTTTGCTCATTTTTATTTTTTTCATTTTTACCTACTTTTTTCAATGTTCCGTTTCGTGTATGTGAAGCTGGCGACCAGAGTTTGATAACTTTTTAAAAACAATTTAATTTTTTTTTATATAACTGCAACTTGAGCGTACAACAACATAAAAAAGAAACAACAACAAGAAAATAATTACAACAACTGGTGGCTGAAAATGTAATTAAGCTTTTCACCTGCAGCACCGAATTAAATTCGATGTATTCGTTTTATTTTATTTTTTTCTGTTTGCGTTTTCTGCAAAAACTAAAAGTTAATTTCGATTTAGTTTTAAGTGCACTAATTATGATTATAATTATAATTTTCGCAACGCCCCGACTGCTGCACTGCACTGCACTGGCCGAGCAATTAAGTTACCTGCATTAAGCTCTAAAGGTAGTCGCCACCTGCCTCCAAGCAAGCCCAGCCCCGACACCCAACAACCCCCAGTACCCCCTCGACACCCTCTGCATCCCTTAAATATGTTATTGCACTCGCTCAATGCACTCACAAAATTTGTTATCGCTTGCACCGGATCTAAATACTTTTATGGACTTGGGGAAAGATCTAAATGTTTTTATCGCTCGTTTTGCGAAATGCTGCCCTTAAGCATGGCTTCGATTTGCTGCATTCAAGTTCTGAGATATGAAAACTGTTTGGGGCCAACAGTCGCATTACCATTTTTTATTATATATGTATATGTGTAGAAAGTATCTATAAATGCTTTAATTTCAATTTAAGCTGAAGAAGCATTGAGTCGAAGCAGAGGAAGATAATTTTAAGTCTAGTAATTTAAAAGAGAAAACCAAATGAAAAATTTCCAACAATCCCTTACAAGACTGTAGCTAATTCCAATACGACTATATTCTAGCCTTTAAATCTGCTTGGAATGTTCTACAAATTCGATCAATAATAGAGAATTATAGAAATGAAATTACTTCACTTAGAGAATTTTAATTAGCAATAATATATATATTTATCACATTTTGTTTTTAGTCAACCATTGTATAGGTTTATGAATATATTTTTTGACAACTATTGTATAGGATTTAGATAAAGTATTCGCCTTGGTAGCTATATCCAAAACATCTAGATTCATTTTTAGATTTTCTTTCTTCTTATATGAGCCAATCTCAGTGACTCCTAATCTATTAAGTTCTTGAACAGCAGAATCCTAAAGATTTAGTACACTAAAATCTACATCATTATATTTGAGTTTTCCAGCGGTTAGGCATCGTCTGAATCCTACAAAGTAAGTACTTGAAGATAAAAATGTATCCGTATTATTTAATATTTGATTACTTTTATACCATCTGGACCCCCGTCGCAGTCTTATATAAGCCCAATTAAAACTGTTCTCTACTATTCTTGTCCTATGTAAGCCTAAATGAAACTCTTCTCTTCTATGGTTGTAATTACATCGTCGGCTCTGCTCTACGGACATAAGAGATCAATAATTAATATAAATATATTTATATATTTAATATGAAATACTTTATATCATACATTTGCTATCTATTCTGAGACTGGTCCTCGTACATTGCATTTGTTTTCCACATTATGATTCAGATTTATTGCCCATACTTCAGAGATTTGATTCAGTTTTATTGCGCATACGCCTGGTCGGCGCAATTTATGAAGTACAGAGATAAATCATATATTTATCTGAATATTTATTTCTATTATTTGTATAATAAATAATAGTGCTTAGTCTGTTAGCTTAGT